CTCCAGCACAGCTCCAAGAAAGCCGCGCGCCCCAGCGTCGGGTTGCCGCCGCGCCGTGCGTCCAGGATCGCCTGGCTGCCAGCACCGACCTTCTGACCAGTGCCCGACGTGCTGGGATTAGGGCGGTTTCGAAGGGGGACACGATGAGGGGGGGGATAACAACTCGAGCCCAACTTTGCCCACTGGGGTATCACAAGTGACTCCCTGGCACAAAAGGGTTGTATTCTGATCGTTTTCACCGCAGCCAGGAAATTGTTGAGCCCCCCGTGCGGAAACTGAGAACCATCTGGCACTCATTACCAGCCCTGCCCTCTCCCCACGTTTCCACCCCCTGGAAGGGGTAGTAGGAGAGGATGAGTGTAGACGAACACGTACATCTATACGCTGGCCAACCTTGCTGCTGTCGTGAGTGGCGTAGAAGCGGTTGAGGCTCGCCAGCTGCGCCTGCGCGTCTGCCGGCACTGGCGCTTCCAGCGGGCTCGCGTCGTACTTGTCAGCGATCTTGCAACACAACTCCGCGAAGGCGCCAAGCTCAAGCGCCGGCGAGGCGCCACGGCGCTGGTCCAGGATCGCCTTCGTGCCAGCACCCACCTTCTGCTTGTCGCAGTTGGCGTAGAAACTGTCCAGGATGCTCAGCTGTGCCTCGTACGTAAGCGGCACAACCCCATGTCCAGCGCTGGCGTAAGTGGCGACGCCAACTGCAGCCGCGGACCCGTTCGAGTGTGCCGCCCGCGGGGCCAGAGGGTTCTCGCCATACTTCTGCTGCAGCTTGGCGCACAACTCAGCAAAATCGCTTGGCCTCATCGCTGGGTTGGCGCCGCGCCGCGTATCCAGAATGGCCCTGCAGCTGTCGCCAGCCTTGGCGCGATCGTACTTGGCATAAAATCGATCCAGAACTGCAAACTGGGATGCCAGAGTTGAGGGCACCCCACCAGAGCCGTTGGCGGTCGGACTTGCACAGCTGGCAGCAGCTTGCTCAGCAGCTCCCGAGGGTTGATGGGCCTGTTTGCCACCACCACCACCACCACCAGAAGTTAGAGGGCGAGGGGGTCCTCCTCCTCCTCCTCCTCCTCATCCCTCCTCCTCATCCTCCTCCTCCTCCTCCTCCCTCCTCCTCCTCCTCCTCCTCCTCCTCCTCCTCCTCCTCCATCTCCTCCTCCTCCTCCCTCCTCCTCCTCCTCCCTCCTCCTCCTCCTCCTCCTCCTCCTCCTCCTCCTCCTCCTCCTCCTTTTCCTCCTCCTCTTCCTCCTCCTGGTCCTCCTCCTCCTCCACCTCCCTCCTCCCTCCAACTTCTGGTGGCGGTGGTGGAAAACAGGCCCATCGAGGGTGTCGCGGCTCCAGCAGCGTCTGGACCTGCGGCACCGGCCGGCGCACTGACGCCCGCAGGCGCCTCGGCGGCGCAGGCGCCTGGGGGTGCCGCGCTCTCGGCGGCCCGCGAGCCAGAGCTGGCCGACGGCGTCTTGGCTGCGCCGGCAGATGGGCTTCCTCGGCCAGCAGCGGTGGCAGCCACGGCCCCAGGAGGCGTTCCAGCTCCCGCGTCTGGAGTGATGGGCAAATGTTCCACAGCCACTACCATATGTAGGACGTAAGGGAAGGGAGGACAAGGGGGTCCTCCTCCTCCTCTTTCTCCTCCTCCTCCTCCTCTTCCTCTTCCTCCTCCTCCTGCTCCTCCCTCCCTCCTCCCTCCCTCCCTCCCTCCCTCCCTCCCTCCCTCCCTCCTTCTCCTACATATGGTGGCGGTGGTGGAAAATGGGCCCGTCATGGAGAACTGCTGACCTCAGCAGCTGCTAAGACCGCGGCTCCGGGAGATGCCGTGGCTCCGCCAGCGGCGGAACTAGGCGTGCCAGCGTCCCCCGCGGCAGCACCAGAGGGCGCGGCATCTCGGACGGCCGAGGCCACCAGGCCAGCAGCGGCTGCTGCCCTGGAGGGCGTTGCAGGCTTCGTCACTTCGGTGCGAGCGGGCGACAACAGCGGGCTCTCGCCGTACTTCTGCTGCAGCTTGGCGCAGAGATCGCGGAAGTCGTCAGGCCTCATCGCTGGCTCCGCACCGCGGCGCTTGTCGACGATCGCCCTGCAGCTCTCCCCCACCTTGGTGGGGTCATGCCTGGCGTAAAACGCGTCAAGGGCTGCGACCTGAGCGTTCAGCGTCGCGGGCACTGGTCCGTCCACCTCGCGAGAGGCACCTGGTGACCGCAGTGGGCTTTCGCCGTACTTCTGCTGCAGCTTGGCGCAGAGCTCGCGGAAGCCGTCAGGCCTCATCGCTGGCTCCGCACCGCGGCGCTTGTCCACCATCGCCCTGCAGCTCTCCCCCACCTTGGCGGGGTCATGCCTGGCGTAAAACGCGTCAAGGGCTGCGACCTGAGCGTTCAGCGTCACGGGCACTGCTCCGTCCACCTCGCGAGAGGCACCTGGTGGCCGAAGTGGGTTCTCGCCGTACTTCTGCTGCAGCTTGGCGCACAGCTCGGTGAAGTCGCTGGGCGCAACAACCGGGGCCTCGCCACGCCGCTTGTCCAGGATGGCGCGGCAACCCTCGCCGCCTTTGCTGCTGTCGTGCCTACGGTAGAATGCAATCAGCACGGACAGCTGCTCCTCTGAGGGGAAGCGGTAGGGGAAGTCTGGCTCAGGGAGGGAAACATCGAGCTGGAATCGGCGATGCATCGCCGAAAGATCAGCGATGGGCCCATGATAGCGAAACCACACGCTCCTGGGCGGAGTGGGCTATCGGGCCCATACCGGCGATGGCTGTTCCTTTTGTTTGGAAGGAGACAGAGGAAAGCTGAGGGGAATGAAGCGCGACGAACCTCTGAAGTGCCGAATGCAAAAACCTGCGGTGGCCCCAGGCTCAGGCCTCGGGCAGAGGGGGGAAAGAGGAAGAGGAGGAGGAGGAGGAGGACAAGGAGGGAGAGAGCTCCATCGGCGATGAATGGGCGACTGGGGGTCGATGCATATCCCACTGAGTTTATTCCTCCCTAGCGTTGCCCCTGATCCTCGTAAGTCGTCGGGGCGCTCATGGCTCATATGCTGCCGCGCCCCGCCGTACCCTGGCACGCTTGGGGCAGGGTGGCTGTGATGGCGATGAGCGGAAAGAGGGATAGGGCATGGTGTCCTTGTTTTTTACATGCAAGACATATGAACTCCACACTGCACATCTTCAACTGCCATGCGATTCAAAGAGTCGTCAGGCACACCCAGGTGCAACCCGCGAGCAGACCTGCAGTAGGCAAACTCACGGGGTTAGACGTGGCCTGAGAGAGAGAGAGAGAGCGCGTGATAGGTAACGAGTTATCCCCCCAGGGAGGAAGAAGAGAAGGAGGAGGAGGAGGAGGAGGAGGAGGAGGAGGAGGAGGAGAAGGAGGAGGAGGAGGAGGAGGAGGAGGAGGGAGGAGGGGGAGGAGGAGGAGTGGAGGGAGGAGGAGGAGGAGACGAGCGTAAAGAAAGAGTCCCAAAGTCCACGACACCCGAACCACAGAAGATCCGCGATCCGAGGGGATGGCTCAGTGAAGGCGGAAGCCTTAATAATAAACGTCTTACACGGGAGCGCCGTCGCGGCGGCGGCGACAAGGGCGGCGCACGACTGCAACCAGAAGCCGCCGATGGCAAGAACCTCGAGGAGTGGCAGGCGCTCCACCAGCAGCAGAGAGCCCAGTCCTGAGCCTCAGTCAACATCTGGTTCAGGAGGCAAACTCGACAGCATGTGCCCGCCAGGCCACTCAGCAGGCGAGGGGCCACGCATGGTGAGGAACTCCTCCATGGCATCCTCCAGCACGATATCTTCGAAGCGGCCGTAGTCGATAGGCGACGTAGGTGGTTCCATCTTGGTGGGGCCACCGCTAGCATGCCGAGGGGCTTCAGCACTTGCCGCACGTGGCACGCCCCGCTCGCGAGGAGCGGGGGCCGGCCTGGCGGTCTCTTGGGTGTCCTCGATAAGGCGGCCCTCAGGATGAAGAAAGACGCAGTCCAAGCGGTGGCAGCGCCGTCCATATTTGCACACCAAATCCGCAGTGCTATCATCAGAAGGCCGAGGGCCAGCAGCAGCGGGCGCCATACGGCGAGTGCCTTTGACCAAAGCGTCCAGCTCAGCAACTTGGGTCTGCAGCACATCGAGCTTCTGGAGCGGGTCGGCAAGCTGCGTCGTCAGCAGGTCCAAGGTGTTCAGGATAGGCACATTCTGAGCTTTGAGCGCTGCAGGGACGGCCTCACGAACAGTCTTGACAACAAAATTGGAGAGTTCCGTGACCGTAGCTTTGAGTCTGCCATCAAAGCGGCAGGCAAGATCATCGAGCTGGGCTTTGACTCCCTCAATCCCATCTCTGACAATGTCGATCTCGTCCCACACCGCGTCTGATCCAGAGGAGGCGGCAGAGGGACTGCTCTCGGCACTCACATCCTCAGTACCGCACGGCACCACCTTAGCAGGGGCAGCAGCACATTCTTCAGAAGACACTGTAGCATGAGGCGCTTCCCCGAGTTTATCCAGCGTCCCTTGGAGCTTGGCGATCGTGTGATTCTGGTCGGCGACCAGGTTAGAATACGCGAGAAGTTGTGAATCATACACAGTTTGAGCAGACGCCAAAGCCTCTGGGACAGACCAAGTGGCTTGATACGAAGCCGGCTGAGCAGAGGGACGGGCGCTGCCATTCCAAGACAGCGTCTGGGGTACAAAATCAATGGCCGTCGGGTCCAGACCAGCAGCTGGCGGGCGAGGTCGATACCGCGGAGCCGCCACAGATGGCCCAATGAGAAAGTCATGCTCGGAACTCTGCTCGGAACCAAAAACTTCCACGATGAAATCTGCGATACTCTGTTGTGTGATATGCTCGCACAAATGGTATGCAAAATCGATCTTGATCATCTTGTTGCGTAACTTGGGCGACAGGTCAGGTGATGCACGAGCTGCCGCAGATAAACCTTGGAAATGCGTCCCATGGGCGCTTGCCAGGCCCCGCAGCAGCCGAGTGCGAAGAGCAGAGACCAATTCGCGAGTATCCATTGGCGACGACATCAGAAGAAAAGAGAACACAGGGGCAATACAGCAGCATCCGCTTGCGCCACAATGGCTACGGAGGAGAGGAGAGGAGGAGAAGGAGGAGAGGAGGAGGAGAGAGGAGGAGGAGGAGAGGAGGAGAGGAGAGGAGGAGGAGAGGAGGAGGAGGAGGAGGAGGAGGAGAGGAGGAGGAGAGGAGGAGAGAGGAGGAGGAGGAGGGAGGAGGAGGAGGGAGGAGGAGGAGGAGGAGGAGGAGGAGGAGGAGGAGGAGGAGGGGGAGGAGGAGGAGGAGGAGGAAGAAGAAGAAGAAGAGCGTACTTGGTGATACTAGACAGATCCTGAGGCTGCCGAGGACGAGCCGAGGAAGGCCAAGTGCAACCTGAGGGTGCCCGGTGCCACACAGAGGAAAAACAAGGATGAGAGGTCCCTCGCGAAAGGCGCGTGCCCTCTCTGCACGCTCTGTGTACTCTCCAGTGGCGTCGAACGCAATTTCTTCGAAGGCAAAGGGCGGGACAGTGAGCAGAGGGAGGCGCGCCATATCCAGAGGCAGGAGGCCTCCCGAGCTGGATGCGCACGCGACGTCCGTAGAAGCGGCAGAGGGGCGCACGAGACTGGTGTCGGCCGCCCAACGAGCGCAGCCGGGCAGAACTGGCGGGCCAAGCTCGAGCGGTCCCTGCCTAGGAGACCCCAGGGAACAGGGCGGCTGCGGGCCCACGCGCCCACGGCACGACACGCGCGTCCACAGCCGCGAACGGGCGTGTCGCTCGAGACATCCCGCGCTGTCTGTGCGCGACCGGGCTCGTGCCACCCGCTCTGGCGGCTCCCCCCGTGGTCCGATTGCCACGCGTGCTGCCTCGCGGTGATCACGGGGCTCTGACAAGCCGCACGCGTCCACAGCCGCGAACGGGCGCTTCGCTCGAGATGTCCCTGCAGTCTCGGCACAAACGGGCCCATGTCAAACCCCTTGGCGGCTCCCCCTGTGGGAGGTCCAGATGCCGTGCCTGCTACATGGCGGTGATCATGGGTCTCTGAAAAGGGACGCGTCCCGAGCCACAAACGGCACTTCTGCTCGAGACCAAAATCTTAACGCGACCAGGCCCGTGTCAAGCCCCCTGGCGGCTCCCCATCGGGAGATCCAAAATGCGCGCCTGCTGCATCGCGGTGACCATAGGGCTATGAAGCGAAGCGAATCCACAATCTCGAACGGGCGCCTCGCTCGAGACATCCTCAAAATCTGGACGCGAGCGGGCTCGTGTAAACCTCCTGGCGGGGGTGGGTAAAATGCCAATGCCTGCTACATTGCGGTGATCATGGGGCTCTGAAACAAGACGCGTTCACAATAGCGAACAGGCGTTTCGCTCGAGTCATCCCTACAATGTAGACGCGAACGGGCTCGTTTCGTCCCCTGTGGCGGTTCCCCCTTGGGTGGTCCAAACACATGCCATGCCTGCTACATCGCTGTGACCAAAGAGATGTGAAAAAAAAACGCGTCCACAGCCGCGAACGCGCGTTCCGCTCGACTCGTCCCTACAACCTGGACTCGAACGGACCCGTGTCACACTCCTTGGCAGTCCGAATACCATGCCTCCTACTTCGCGGTGATCACAGGGCTCTGTTAAAAAGACACGTCCACCACCGTGAACGGGCTTTCTCTCAACATTCCCACGAACCGGACGCGAACGGGCCCGAGTCATGACCCCTGGCGGTTCCCCTGTGGGAGGTGCAAATGGAGCTCTGGAAAAGCACGCACCCACAACAGCGAACGCGCGCTTCGCTCGAGAGATCCCAGCAGTCTGGACGCGAACGGGCCTGTGTCATACCCCCTGCCGGCCCCCCCTGCCTGCTAAGTATGACTGAGTCTGAGTGTGGGTGACCCAGTGGGGGGCGAGTCTGCGCATGAGAAAACCTGAATATGAGTGAGTCTGAGAGCACATGAAGTGTGAGCGGTCTGCGCGTACGAGTCTGAATACGAGTAGCTGAGTATGGGCGAATACGAATGTGAATGGTCTGAACATGAGTGAATACGAATAGTCGACATTAATGCGAGTGGGTCTGAGTGTCACTAAATCTGGCCATGAGGGAGTCTGAGCATGGGAGAAGGGAGGGAGGGAGGCTGGAGGACAAGCAGAAAGGCGGTAAGGTCCCACTTATAACAAGAACCCAACGCTTAGGACATGAGAGCAATGGCAGTTCGAAGCAGAGAAAACCGAAGAAGACGAGAATGGAGGAGGAACCTATTCGTACGTGGGCAAACGACACGAACGACGAACATCCCGAACGACGTACGTGGGCAAACTTTACTCCCTAACATCAAACGACGAACGAAGGAACCGAACGGGACCGAGAAGATCGAGGCGAGGGGAACGAGGGAGGAGGAGGACGAGGAAGCGAGAGATGCGAGCCCCCGATGTCGGTCTGGTGGGACCGGCCCTACGAAGGCGGCGCGGGGGGCCAGGGTCTTCAAGAGACGCGTTGCGAACAAGAATCGGAGTCGCTGTCGTCGTCCGTGTAAATATAGACCACCGGTTTTCCAATTGTCCAGCACCGATATTGTAACATCTGCATCCGTGAAGGTAGGAGCGAGAATCGGGGAGACGATCGCAAGAGTCGGAGACATACGCGGAAGAGTCGGGAGATACGAAAACCGGGGTCGCGGGGATAAGAGCTGGAGACAGAGAAACGATCGCAAAAGTCGGAACAAATAGGCGCAAGAACCAGAAGAAAAGAGAACTGGAATCGCGGGGATAGGAGCTGGAGTCGGAAAGACAACCGCAAAAGTCGGAAATATAAACGCAAAATCCAGATGCTAAGAGAATCAGATTTGCGGAGGACACGAAGCGGAGCTAAAGAGACGATCGCAAGAGTCGGATCAATTAGGCACAAAAACCGGAAGATAAGGGAACCGAAGTCGCGGGGGCAGGAACCGGAGTCGGAAAGACGACCACAGAAATCGGAAAGATAGGCGACAGAGTCGGAAGAAAGGAGAACCGCGGTCGCGGTGGTAAGAGCAAGTTGGAATGACAAGAGCGGGAGCCGGCGTGCTCAAGAATACTTGCTGGAGTGGATAAAGCAAGG